GAGGAGATGCTGCGCGACCGCCGGCATGGGGTCACTCTCGCTGAGCGTCGGCCGCTGCCGTTTTGGACGACGGATCTGGAGCAGGCCGTCGTCACCGTCATCCCGTGACGTGCAGCTCCCGGTGGCTTCATTGGGGTGTGCTGTAGCAGTGATTGCCTCTGGTGCAGGCTGAAGCTGTTGCAGCTCTGAGGCAGGCTGTAGCAGCGCCTCCTCTGGAGCAGGTTGCAGCGGCACCGTCCTCTGAGGCAGGCTGCACCTGTGCCTCGTCTGGAGCGGGCCGGTGTGGCTGCCCGAGAAGCAGGCGCCTAACATGCTTTGGCTTGGGTGGAGTTGTGCATGGGCCAACACGCTTTTGGGGACTTTTGCGTGCCACTGGTTTTGTCTGCTCCGGGAACATGAACCATGATGGGATACTTCCCTCATGCCGCATTCTGCGTCCACAGTATGGTTCAAAATCAGTCTCCATGAGTGGTCACTGCAGAGAAGTGCGCTCTGAGAGAGCTTCCATGTCCTTTGCTTTTCTCCCTGACGTCTTGTAGCAGTAATCCACTTCCTCAGCAGCTACAGGTCATGATGAGGGTACCTGGAACAGAAACAAAAAATGCATCCTTCCTCAGCATTTTTCACCGCAGCCTGGTTCTATCTGGTCCACATTTTGCGAGCATTACACCCAGCAGAGCTGTGATGCACATTATGACCATGTCACCTTAATGGTCTGAACGCTGCCCTGCATTATGTAACAAATGCACGTCATGCATCTCAATTGTCACAATACCACAATTTGCCACATTTTTGTTTTTGCCCCAATTGTCACCATGACACCATCACAATTTGCGGACGTCTTATGCGTTAGAGTCGCAGTTAGATGATTTTCATATTTCACGACACAGAACATGCTCCTTTGCTGGGGTAGTGTTTGATTGTGCTTTTGTGCTCCAAAGAAAATTTGTGGTTGCAAGCGGGCTGTAAGCTGCAGTTTCATTGTGTATTCCCCTGAGACAATAGCAAGGCAATTTGATAACAAGTTCCATGTGAATTTGCACACTTAAGCAGTGCCTGGAAGTTGAACTTTGGGTATCACCGGTGTGGGCCCTTCACTTCGTAGCACAGTCTCAGTCACCAGAATCTGGTATGAAAGTCATGCAATGTTGATACCAGGAGATGAACAGGACATTTGTGAACACCTCTAGCATCTTCATTTAGCTCTATATACAATATAATGACAATAAAAAACATTTTGTCACACACCTGTCAACTGGTCAATTCACTAAATCTGTGATGCGGCGGGCAGTGTGCAAGGCCCCAGCCTGCAATATCAATTTTTGTGTTTTGAACATGATTTTTTTCTGTGAGTATTTAGGTCAAAGCCTACATTCTGGAACTTACAAAATAAACACAAATTCAGTTATTAGCTGAGATTGAACTGGATTACAAAATGCTGCTTTTAGTACAGTTTTAGCCCTGCTGCAAAGATTTCTGGGAGTGCAAGGAGATAAAATATCAAGCCATTTCAAGATATTGGTTTTAGCCAGTCATTATCCTAAAATCACATGACAAGGTATGGTTTTCGCTGTCCGGTTTTTCGGTTTTCTTTTTTTCTATCTGGTTCTTAGACGTTCTTCTTCCAACTTCCACTCGCCAACATGCATATTTAGTATCATACAGGTAGATACAACTGGGTTCAGTTGTGATAAAATGGGTAGATGATAGTAGGAAGGCACACAGCGTATCTGAGCAAAATGATTAAAGAGATAACTTCCCATCTCCACCTTGATTACCAGCAAATGCGCAGGTTGACAGTCATGGCACAGAACCGCATACTACCAAATCACCAATTTATGCACGATCAAGCTCGAAAATACTTACTTGTGGAATGACAAGCTATCTCCATGTCTTCCCCGATCATCATGCCTCCTGCTACACCCGATTGCAGAGTAGCTTCTCGTCATTTTCGCCCGATGCGGCACCGCGAAACGCCCGCGTATGGCAGTTCCAGTGGTTGGTAAGGGATGCATATTGAAATGTCTAGGGTTCATAAAGTCCAGTGGTCAAAAGGTTGAGAATCGGAGCATCCAGCGTTCATAAGATCCTAGAAAAAGTCCAAAACCCTTGGACAGAGGGGAATCATAAAGTCCAGTGTTCTTAAATCCAGCGTTCATAAAGTCCAGCGTTCATAAAGTCCAGTTATCATAAAGTCCAACGTGCGTGAGATCCACGGTTTGGGGTACTGTCTCACTTCCTTGCAACATTTCACCTAATGGTTCGGGTAAGTGCCCGATAGAGAGCTACTGGGGCCGATTTATTTCCGGGGAGCCATCAAAAAGTCCAGAATCGCAGCGTCTAGTGTTCATGTCGTCCAGGACCGCAGCATCCAGTGTCCATTACGTCCAGAAAGCGTCTAATTCTGTGCCCATTGGAGGTGTTCATAAGGTCCAGGAACGCAAAGTCCAAAGTCGCAAAGTCCAGAGTCGTTATCCCAGTGTTCAAAGCGTCCAGTATCCGTGGCAACCAGGCTAGTTTGGATTCCTGCCACTAGGTAACAACACAGAAGTATCTTTGAGTCCTGCGGCTATTTCCCTCTTTTGTTAAGAGATGGCACAGTCAACCCCGCATTCCACCGATGATCACGTGATGCGTTCAGTCAAGCATGGTTAATATAAATTACCTAGACGCATGGCGGCCGTGTCCAGCCTGGGTGCGGCCACGCCCCCGGGGCTTACCGGCGGACTGGGCGCAGATGCGCCGGGCGGCGGCGCGGCCGGAGACATGGAGGGCGGCTCGGCAGGAACCGCTTCGCCTGCGCGGTAAGCGGGTTCTCTTGCCCCGTCGCTGCTGCCTGGGCCCCAAATGCCAGGGTACACTCGGTTGCTCAGTGGCCCTTCATATTGGTATCGGGTTCTTTCCACTTGTTTGGAGGACTCCCTGCTGTTGCTGGGGATCCATATAGGGTAACGCCCCGAGGCACTCGATGCTCAGGGACCCTCTTCATTGACCTAAGGCCCTTCCCTTTTTGAGCTTATTTCCTGAGTATCCCTCACTTGTCAGAGCTTTCTGTGCTAACCTGCCCGGGCACTCTTGATCACACAGGGGCGTTAATTCACGTACACTGATCTTCGGCTAGGGCCCTTTGTTCAGGAGATCATGTACTCCGGCCGGACCTTATACGTTAGCCTGCCGGGATGCTCCCGATCGTTAATGGGTCCCACCATATTGGTGCTAGGTTCTTCTCGCTCGTTATGAGGACCCTTCACTGTTTATTGGAGACTCTTTGTTGGCCTGCCACGGCGGTTTTGATTGCTCAGGTGCCATCCTTGTTCGTCTCGGTTTTTTCGTATGATAGGAGGGCATACGCCATTGGCGCGGACCTAATTCTTAATAATTTTCATTGGGGCTTTACTTCTCACTAACTGGTGACTGAACGTTCGGCTATGGGGATTACGCCGATGAAACCGTTATTGTCGTTGCCGAACATGATTTTACACGCCACTGACGTCGTGCATCTGATTTCGATTGTTTATTAAAGTTGTGACGATTGTTATACCTGTGCGTTACGGTTCAATTTATCTTTTAGGGATAGGATATTCTGCATTCCCTTGCAACAGACAAAGCAAAAAGCTCTGCATTAGTCCTCATCCATCAGTTGATCTCATCAACTACCCGGCTAACCGTATATGAGCTAAAAATCAAGCTCGTGCTTGATTTTGATGTGATTTAGCAGCCAAGTTAAGTGTATGCCGCCATGTTTTCTTCGAAATACTTAGCCTTAGAATGACCGAATCCATTTTGATCAGTCGAAAGATGAACAAGCTCCATGTATTTGCGTACAAAGCACGCCTAATTTTCTTGGGCTGTGCGCAGTAAGCTAGGCTTCCGTACACGAACTGCATACATAAGAATATTAAAACGTAATGGCCGGAATACGATTGCTTTTGGTGGCTACAGCCGTGAAGTCGGAGGAGCTCAAAAAGTAAGAGGACTTCTCCAGTTGTTTAGCATTTTCGAAGTGTACATGTGTGGAGATTTAGTTACCATGGAGTTTACTGCTTCCGATCACTCTGATATGGTGTCGTGTTAGTTCTGGTCGGTGCT